GGCCTTTTAGTCTAGGCTTCAAGGCCTGAGAACTAGGAGCTCCCAGTGCAGAGGCAGATTGATGGCTCAGTTCAAAAGCAGTCATGGTGGGACTTGTAAAGACAGAAAAAAGGCGGGCACGGTGGGGCTGCTAAAGCACAGAAAGGGAGAGAAAACAATAGGAAAACAATCCACAACCAAAAAACATCGGGTGACCTCAGGTTACCCTTTCATGTAACAGGATTAAGGCAGAGGCATCTTCATTACAAGGCCAGTTGAAATGGCCTGTTTGGGATTTCACTGTTAAATTTCTCTAATTTCTGTTTCTTAGAAAATTAGATAAACAGTTTAGTTTCCCCTTGGTAAAATGGAAGCCTATTGTGACTCCATCTTGATTTTTTTTTCTTTTTCTGAGACAGGATCTCACTATGTATCCCTAGCCGACCTGGAACTCTCTGTGTAGACCAGACTGGTCTCACTTCACAGAGATCTGCCTGCCTCTGTCCTCTGTCTCCCTGAGTGTTGGGATTGAGGAGTCACCACACCCAGCTTCTCCATTTGATCTTTATGTTGGTCTATCGGGACCTAATACAGTCAGTTCTCTAATTCCACACAAAGTAGATGTTGTGGTACAGCCTATAATACCAGCACTTGGGCGGTGACCACTGGAAGATCGGGAGTTCAAGCCTACCCTCAGTTATATAGCAGTTCGAGGCCAGCCTAGGCTATTTAAGACCCTTTCTCAAAACAAAACGAAAACACAGTTATTGACAGCAAAGCTAACCCTCTACTTTTTTGTACTATTCAGGCTCTCCACAGTGGCTGACACCCTCATAAAAGAAGACCATCTGCTTTACTAAGTCCCCCAGTTCAAATCCTGACCTCTTCTGGGAAACACCCTCAGAGACATACTTAAGCAGCTATCCGTACAGCCTCACAGACATACTTAAGCGTGCGGATAGCTCGGTCTCATTGACAGAGAAAATCAGCCTTTGCAAGAAGAAAGTTGGAAGTTCAAAAATGTGTCCAACTACATATGAGAATTTACTTTATGATGAACGAAGGTGGTATTGTTAATCCCACCAACTGAGAATAAGACCAGTACCCCAGTTTAAAAGCCAAATTAGAAGCAAGCTTTAATTAAATACCGGCCCGGTGGATAGGCTCTGGCCATGTCCATACCCAGGTTCCTCAGGAAATGGCCCAGAATCAAGTATGGCAAGGGCTTAAGAAGGAAAAGCATTGCAAAGTTCATTGCATTTGCCATCAGGTCCAATCAGGGGCAAGCATATACCCTGACATGTGTCCTGCCTACGTACCTCCCGCATGTCATCACGCACATCTGCTGCAGATGGGCCTACCACACTTGCTTAGGGGAATGCAAACCATGTGGCTTATTATCTTCCATAAGCAGTAGCCTCCAGCGTTTCAGGAACTGTCTGTCCTTGCAGATCACAGGCATTTTTTGTGTCAGGGATCTCTACAGCCTAGTCATTAAAACTTAAAACGTAACTTTGGCTCTCACAGCCTCTCAACTCAGTGAAGAAAAAGGGACAGGGCATTCTATAAGATACGTTGTAAGGGCAATGTTTGGTGGTAAAAGGGGAGTTGGATTGAGCATTCAACCTTTACACAAGATATTAAATGCACAAAATGGCATAATGGGAGCTGGGGAGACAGCTCAGTGGAAAACTGCTTCCCTCGCATACGCGCGGCCCCACATTTAACCCTCAGTACTGCAAAACAGACAAGCATCATAAATGTTCGTTCATAGAGAAATCCTTCCAGACTGCAAGCCGGATGGCGCTCTTTCAACCACAAAAGAAACCAAAGGTCTGAAGGAACACAAGCCCTCAAACTCGTGTTACACCTCATTTCAACATTTCTTATGATGAAACTTACAAACATCAGACAAAGTCCAGAGCTGGACTGCTCATGAGGTTGACCTTTGTGACCTACACATTCAGTCTGCTACGCTGCTATCCTTCATGTTTATTTTTATTTTTATTTATTTTTTTTTTTTTGGTTTTTTTCGAGACAGGGTTTCTCTGTGGCTTTGGAGCCTGTCCTGGAACTAGCTCTTGTAGACCAGGCTGGTCTCAACTCACAGAGATCCGCCCGCCTCTGCCTCCCCTCCCGAGTGCTGGGATTAAAGGCGTGCGCCACCACCGCCCGGCTCCTTCATGTTTAAAGACTGATAAAACTCTGAAAAGAAAACCAGAGGGTCAGTGGCCTACGGAGGGAATTTCCAGTACAATCTTTAACATAGTATCCTACTTTGCTTTCTGTTTTCTTGTGAAAACAACTTGGGAAGGGAAGGATTTATTTCATTTTTTACAGTTTACAGTCCCTTTTGAAGAGAAGCCAGGGCAGGAACTCAAGCAGGAACCAGAGAAATGGAAACAGGCCGTGGAGGTGCACTGCTTACTACTTGCTCTCTGTGACTTGCTCAGCCTGATTTCTTAGAGCACCCAGGACCACCCGCCCAGAGGTGGCATCGCCCATAGTGGTCTGGGCTCTCCCAGATCAGTTATTAGTCAAAAAAATACCCCCCTCAAGATTTGCCTATGTGCTAATCTGACTCTAGTTTTTGTCAGGATGACAAAAAACACAACCCGTATGCATAGATAATTCAGTAATTAAGGCAATGTTACCTGAGGATTACATAGTTAATGGTTAATGGGGGAGGGAGAGACACTTTCCTCAGTGGTGTAGTCATTGGTAAAGTACCCATCCTCCTGTAGGTGGCCCTAATAAATCTCAGTGGGTCATATAATGTCTTTTTTTCATATAATGTTTTTTTAAGACATGAAAGTAATTAGGAAGAAGGAAGTGTTAGATTTTGGAGCACAGAGTAAAGAGACAGAAGGTGCAAAAGAGAGCAGAGTCTGACCTGATCTCATCTCAAAGGATGAGACTGTTTCTTTCAAACAGAAAAAGACAGGCACTTTTCTGTGGGGTAGAGGTTTTCTGTAGGGGAAAAGCTCGCTGGGACCCTTTATGGAGATTTGGGGCGTAGAAAGAAGTGATGATGCAGCTTCAGGAGATTATGTGCAGCTCTGCAGACTCTCCTTCCGGAATTTGTTTGCCCAAGCCAGACAGATTATTTTGGGGAGATAAGCTGTCCAGCAAACATTCTCCTCTGGGTTGTGGCTGTCGGAGAAGGATGAGCGCACAGCCATCGGTAATTTCATGGAAATCCTGTTTTCACATCCAGGCCCTCTGTCATCTCAGGCCCTGAAGCGTAGAAAGAAGTAAGGGACGGGGTCAGCAATGATTTCTTAACGGTTTAGTGCTGTTGGGGGATCATTGCAAGGGAGAGAGAAAAAAGTGTTCTTTTTTTTTTTTCCCAGGGTCTTTTGACTTTAGAGGTATCTTGATTCCTTGAGACTATATGGCTCTTTGGGATCTCCGATTCCGGGACTCTGAGGGGTTGGTAGTCCTCAGTCAGGAGGAGTTGAGTGATAGTCGAGGAGGTGAGGGCTTGAACTCCTTGCTGCAACAGATTAGAGAGGAATTTCAAAACATAAAGACTGAAAATTAGAGCTAGAACTATTATAATAAGGGTCCTAATAAACGGGGCTATTCATGTTATTCATCTACTCCAAGGGCTCCCAAAACCTGTCCAGCCTGATGGTGGCTATCTGGCTCGTGATTTTATTCTTTCGACAGCTGATAAATTCACAAAGAAACAATATATCTCGACTAACAAAGAAACAATATTTCTCGACTAGCATAGCATAGCATAGCATAGATCCCTCCCTTCTACCATAATTAGACCTTTTTTTTGTGGGTTTTTTTTTTTTTTTTGAGACAGGGTTTCTCTGTAGCTTTGGAACCTATCCTGGAAACTAGCTCTTGTGTAGACCAGGCTGGCCTTGAACTCACATAGATCCACCTGCCTCTGCCTCCTGAGTGCTAGGATTAAAGGCTTGCGCCAACACTGCCTGGCTTCCACAATGAGATCTAGTCCTGGTGACTGCCAGAGAGTTCAACTGAGGGTGGACTTTTTGTTTTCTTCTCCTTCCTTCCTTCCTTCCTTCCTTCCTTCCTTCCTTCCTTCCTTCCTTCCTTCCTTCCTTTTTTTTTTTTAAGACTTGCTGGCAGTGGTGGCGCGTGCCTTTGGAGGGAGAGAGAGGGAGCTCTCTGTGAGTTCAAGGTCAGCCTGGTCTACAGAGAGAGTTTCAGGAGAGCCAAAGCTACAAAGAGAAACCCTGTCTCAACAAACAAACAAAAACAAAACAATAAAAATAAATAGATAAATAAATATTTACGTATTTTGTCTTCATGCATGTCTGCACACCAGAAGAGGGCACTGGACCCCATGGGACTACTGCTATAGATAGTCGTGAGCTATAATTATTAGCTATAATTAATATATGCTAATGAAGCATTTAAAATGTTATCTGTCATTTATAATCCTAATCACTGGTTATTTTCACACTCAGTCTTGTTCATTATTTGTGTAAATCCATCTGATCTTTTATCTTTATACTATGTATAATTTTGTGACTAAATGGAACCATTTTGTACATACTACTTTTCTAGCTTTTTCTTTCCATGGACATTCCTCAGAATCAAAGAGATGATGCAATTCACTTTTGGCAAACAGCTACTCTGTGGGGACCAGGACCTTTGTGCCTAATCTTCAGATCCCAAAAGCTTGGCTGGTTTCCACAATTCTTGCTGCTGTCACACAACCATGCCAACAACATGGCATTAAACTACTTGTCAAGTAGTGACGACATCTCACCCAGAAATAAGTTCTCTTTATGGATTCAGTTAGAAACAAAGTATTGTAGAATTCTTTAAGTGAGGGTAAGCCAGGTGTGGTGGTGCATGTCTGTAATCACAGCATTTAGGAGACAGAAACAGGTGTGTCTCTGGGAGTTCAAAGCCAACCTGGTCTACGTAATGAGTTCTAAGTGAGACTCTGTCTCAAAACAAACAAAATGAAAGTAGTTTATCCATGTACTAAAGCTCATTTTTTGATTGGTATTCTTAATGTTTTTGGTTCCTAGCTTGAGCAGTTTCGAACCCTGCTTGTCACTTCTGAAGGGGAGAAAGAGAAAAGAATGGTGGACAACTTCCGCCCGCTGCAGCCACTGATGAACCGTACTGTCCGCTCGTCCTTCCGCCATGATTATGTGCTCAATATGCAAGTGAAGCCCAAGCCAGCAGCCAACCAAGTCACCCCCTAAGATGTTCATATTTTAGGCAGCATCTTGCTTTAATGTATATTCACTTAAAATCTTAACTAGATCATTTTAAAATTCTGCATTTAATAATACTTATATGTATACATTTATATTTCTTTCCTTCCATTTTTGTAACAACATTTCAAAGTTCCTACCCTTGTAAGGCAAAGACTTGGAGACAAAACAATAAAAAAAAAAAGCCCATAACCGAATCACATCAGGTTACCTTAGGTTACCTTTCCTTGGGACAGGATTTAGGCAGAGGAATCTTCTTTACATCAATTGAAGTGGCCAGTTAGGGATTTTGATGTTAAATTTCTCTAATCTCTCTTTCTCAGAAAGTCAGAGAAAGTTTAGTTTTTGCTTGGTAAAATGGAAGTTTAGTGTAAATAACCCATCTTGATTTTTCTGTTTGGGCCTTAATACAGGAGCTTAACAAACCCACAGCAAGAGGTTCTTGTGAATTTGAATTAATGACGTCAGTCTTTTGTTCAAACTGTTAAATTGTCTCATCTTACAGTATTGGTCCCAATCTTAGCTACCATCATTTGGAACTGCAGACCTCAAAGTGGCATTCAAAGGTTAGGTGTGCATTTATTGATTTCAGATTATTTCATCTATTTTTTTAAGATAAGGTTTCTCTGTGTACCCCTGACTGTTCCATAACTTACTCTGTAGACTTGTCTAGCCTTCAACTCATAGAGTTCTTCCTGCCTTTGCCTTCCAAGTGCTGGAATTAAAGTCTTGTGCCACCGCTCCTGGTTTTTGTTTGTCTTACCAAATGCATTTGCTCTTTGGCTGTTAATAGTATGTGTCATTGGGATAGCAGCAAGACATGCAAGTTGCTCTTAAAGCAACCCGTTGCTAATTATGATGTGTTCTTATAACTGACATTGTGTGTGTGTGTGTGTGTGTGTGTGTGTGTGTGTTGTGTTTTGAGGCAGGATCTCACTCTATAGTGTTTTATTTGGGTGGGCATAGTGGTGCATGCCTTTAATCCCAGCATACAGGAAGCAGAAACAGGTGGGTCACTGTGAGCTTGCGGTCTAGTCTACATAGCCAGTTCCAAACCAGCCAGAGCTATANCCCCCCCCCCCCCCCCCCCGTGTCTGTGCTCTGTGCGCTAGACCCCAGTTCGCGAGCTTCAGGCAAGGGGCTGGAGGTTGAGAATACAGACGCAGAGACAGACCGACACGCAGACCTCTTAACACTGATACCAAAAGCCCCAAGAATGCTCCCTTTATTGTGTTCAGGGGCAGATTATATAGAGCTAGCCACGCCCCAGCCAAACCCACCAGAAACCACTCTCCTGCCATCAGGAACTCCTGAAGGTCTCGTGCTCAGAGCAGCTGTAGGCACTCAGATCAGGGGAAAACAAGTTGTTTACAAGAAATTCAGGATCTGGGGTCTCACTGCTCCCAACAGGTCACTGTTCCGTTGCTGTGAAGAGAAACGAAGACCAAGGCAACTATTACAAAAGAAAGCAGTTTCAGAGGGTTAGTCCATTATCATCATGGTGGGGAGCTTGACAGCAGGCACGGGAGGCAGGGTACTGGAAATGACGTTGAGAACTACATCCTGATCCATAGGCAGAGTAAGGAAGAAGCGGTGGCCAGTGTAGGCTTTTGGAATTTCAGAGCCCCTCGCCCACACCAGGGACCATACTTCTTCCGTCAAGGCCACACCCCTTAATCCTTTTTAGATAGTTACTCCCTGGTGACTAAGCATTCAAATATATAAGCCTTTGGGCCCATTCTTATTCAAACCACCACAGACCTTGTACTTTAAAATATCTTTTGTTTGTACCTTTCTAGCCAGGAATTGGCCCAAGGTCTCGTCCACAGGGGTGTGTGTGTGTGTGTGTGTGTGTGTGTGTGAGAGAGAGAGAGAGAGAGAGAGAGAGAGAGAGAGAGAGAGAGAGAGAGAGAGAGAGAAAGGGGGGGGGATCTCATATCTCATGTATCCCAGATTGACCTCCTAGTGTCTGCATAGCTGAAGAGTATCTTATGTACCTCACGTTCTCGCCTCCACCTCCCATGCCCTCGGGTTACAGTGTGCGGCATTGTCTTACTTTTCTGTGGTTGGGAAAAACTACTCTGACCTTAGAGAAGAAAGGGTTTAGTTTGGCTTCTGGTTCCAGAGAGATAGATCCCTCAGTGGAGCAGGAATGGCGGCAGGAGCGGAGCCGGAAGCTGGCTAATCACGTTTCCATTCACACAGGAAGTAGAGAGAGCAGAGAAAGTGGATTTATAAATACACAAAGTCCACCCCCAGTGGTGGGCTTCCTCCATCGAGGCTCCCCGAAAGGCTCAGTCCATAGCCCTTCCAAACAGTGTCAACAACTGGGGACCAAGTGTTCAAATACAGGAGCCTATGGGGGACACTTCTCATTGCAGCCACAACAATAACCATGCCCAGTTTCGTGTGGACTGAACCCAGCGCCTTGTACATTGCTGGCAAACACAATACGGACTGAACTACTTCCCTAGCCAAAGAGTTTTGCACGAAAATTGTTGCTCCTATGCATTAAGCAGAGGTAGGCCACTGAGCCCCTCCACACTTTTATTATTATTTACAATGTTAATGGTTTGTAATGGGTTTTCATTCTCATTAGTTGTTTGGACACGTAAGATTTCTAAAAAAAAATAAATCAACGAGACACCCTTTATCAGATGAGACAGCAACTGGAAAATTCAGAAGGGATTTACTAGAGAAAGAATAATGGGGAGAACCAGCCAGTTCCCCACAGCTTGCATAGCTCAGTACACAATCTTCAGATGTCACTAGATGAGGCTGGCAGCTACTCCCATTCTTTCTCCCCAGGACTACATGGTGTGGGATAAGGATACTGCACAGACATTCCCAACTCATCTAAGTTCCCAAACAGAGCAAGTTCGTAGGGAAGGTTGACAAACCAGGCATATTTCTCACAAGGCACAAGAGAATCCTAGGGTCATTTGTGGGGTGGTCCTCCAAAGCTTCCTGGGGTAGGCAGAAGCTGGGCAGCATCAGCTTCACTTCTATTACAGCCCCCCCCCCAAAGGCTGCTGCCTCCGTGTTGTATATACCCCAAGGGCTGTAGGACTTACCAGGCAAAAAATTGAAAAGGTCATCCTGCTTCGAATGGAGTGGAATCAAGTTTGGACTGTCAGGAGTAGTTCCTCCCAAAGGAGGGGCCGGAACAATGTCCAGGTTAGTTGGGGCAGGCCCATGCTTTGCCCATAGATTCTGCAATTACTCTAAAGAAATATAGGCAAGACAGGAGGGAAAACTGGGTAGGTTACAGTCACCTGCGCATGGATAAGGATAAGGTTGTCTACTCTTCTCTCCCCCTTTTCTTCATTGGATTCAAATGGTAGTAATCTTAGTTTGGAAAGAGAATTGGCTTCCAGAGCTCCTTCTGTAAAGAAATTAACTTGAGCAATTCAAGCTTGTTTCCGGAAAATGAATTCAGTAGTTAACTTGAAAATAAATGTCTTCCTCCAATTGAAGGCGATTTACGTTCCTTTATCAATCATAATAAAATGAAATCTACATCTGTGCCTTTTTAAAAAATCGGAGCATCTTCCCAGAAGATGCGCTATTTGTTTAAAAGTGACAGTCACACGCAGCACCTGTTGCAGCCACTAAAGCTCTGATGCTTTCCGGATGGCAGCAATTTGAAGTGTAAATCCTAGTCGCGGGGGTCTGTACAATCGGGGAGTCACACAGCTGCAATCACCATTGCCATGCCGAGCTGTTTTGTAGTTTCGGGCTGTTTTTTCCAAATCTCACAAAAAGTTGAGATTTATGCAAGGGCTCGGCACGTAGCATACACCCATAGTCCCATCACCTGGGCTGTAGAAGCAGGCGGATCAGGAGTTCAAAGTCTTGCTCGGCTATTGAGTGGATCTGTAGATGAGACACTGTTTGCAAGAAACAAAATGAAACAAACAGAAGGTTTTAAAGTAAGAGGCATGCAAGGGAAGAAAGGCAGGCCAGCATATGGGGGTAGGTGGGAAATACAGGTGACGGGAGTTTGGCCCCACCAGCGAGCCCCCACATTTGGCAGGAGAGTCAGGAAGTTTTCACACCAGTGATGATGATAGGCGCTTTCATGGCTTAAGTTTGGGGATACAGTTGCTAAGCACTGTGTGCATGGATTGAAGGGACTCTGGCCAGCCCAGCCATGGCAAACGTGATTCTGGCAGGCCTTGCCCTAATCTCCCATTCCCTCTTCCTTACTGTTGAAAAAAAAAGCCTTAGATTACATTGCTAAAACTGGCCACCAAGATCTATTCTCTTATTTGGCCACTTCCTTCTCCTGAGGCTGACTACCAAGGTCCAGGTACCAAAGTATTGAAGTCCAGCAATCAAAAGCCCCCTTTGGCTCACCTAATTAACATGCCCAATTAAAATGAAACACCTCATCCTAACAGGGGTTTCCCCCTTTACCTTTATAAACTGCCATTTGCCTACGTGCCACATCCGTCTCCTCTCTGTCCAGAGGCAGTCCTTTGTCACTGCAGGACAAATAGCATTCCTCCATCTCCTCTGTTCCCTTCCCTTCTCCCTTGTTCTCCATCTCCTGTCTGCTGTACTTCTCAGGCAAATCAGTCTCTTTTGTGCTAAGAATTTGGTCTTGGGGTCCTGAGCTAATACTTTTCCTTTCGTGTATAGTATGGACTATCTTATGCAATCTTCAGAATAAAATGTTTCCAGCCTGGCGGTGGTGGGGGCACACCTTTAATTCTAGCACTCAGGAGACAGAGACAGGAGGATCTCTGTGAGTTAGAGGCCAGTCTAGTCTAAATAAGAGAGTTCCAGGAGAGCCAAGGCTACACAGAGAAACCCTGTCTTGAGGAAACCAAAGCAGAGCAAAGCAAAGCAAACAAACAAACAGAAAACAATCCAGGAAGCAAGTGTTCATCGATTGTCACAACAAGAATCTCGTTTCTGAGGTAAAGGCCTTGGACAAGCATTGCGACAAGTTGCTACAACATGTGAAGATGTGGATCAATTCCCACGAGAGCCACAAGGGCACGAAGTCCAAGCTGCTAAACAAGGGTCCCTTACATCTCCCAGATTTTCCTGTGGGACTTGTTATCAATGTCCTGAAAAAGTGCTTATGGCTAGCAGTAGGGGTCTCTTCCCATTAGCAGAACCTCTTCTTAACCGAGAAGACAGCTATGAAATGTGAAGAAAACGCTATTTTGATTTGTTTTGTACGAAGATAAATCAAGGGAAAATTCCCTCTAAAGATGGAGGGTGTTAATGTGAGTTTGGTAGAAACATTTCTTTCTTTCTTTTTGGCCTTGTTTCTATTATTAGCAAGGATTTCTTCTATTGTTTTTACATTTATTTATTATTTTGTGTGAGAGCATGTGTAGGTGCGCATATCAAAGTAAGAGGACAATTTGTGGGAATTAGTTTTCTCCTGCTATGTGGATCTTTGGGGATTAAGGGAATTGAACTCAGGCCCTCAGGCTTGAAAGCAGGCACTTTTACCGACTTAACCATTTGCCAGCCCTATTTTTATTTTTTCCATCTAGTTCCACATCACACCTTACCTATATTATTGTGATACAGTATTACATTTTTTTTGTCTTTTTTTTTTTTTTTTTTTGGTTTTTCAAGACAGGGATTTTCGGAAGCTTTGGAGCCTGGAACTAGCTCTTGTAGACCAGGCTGGCCTTGGATTTACAGAGATCCTCCAGTCTCTGCCTCCAGATGGCTGAGATTAAAGGCCTTCACCACCACTGCCCTGCTTGACTGGTTTTAGGTAGCTCAGGTTGGCCTCGAACTTTGTTCTTTTTCTTCCCTCTCTTGGTAAAGATTATCTTTCTTCCAAGCTCAACTCAAGCGCCAGCGCAATAAATTACCTTCACCTGCACCTTATAACCTAGGTGTCAGTCCCTCTCCGTGTCCTAGGAGTGAACCAGCTGACAAACCCGACGCCTTTGCAGCCTGAGCCCCCCCCCCCCCCCCCGCCGTCAGTAAAGAGGAGGAGGGTCCTAAATTCTGCCTGAGGCGCTGATAGGTGGACCCCCAGAGAGGGGCGGGGCCTCGAGGCGTTTCCGTGGGAACCAGCGAGGCTGCACGGGTGGGAATTTAGATTGGTGGGTGAAAGGAGGCGGGGCCAGTCTTTAACTCCTTGAATTCCGGGCACCGCCTCAAGGCGCAAAGGGCAATGGGGGGTGCCGGAGCACCGAGGAAGCTCCGGGGAGCAAAGGCTCGAGTCCCAGGTGGAGGGAGAGCTCTGGCGGCGGCTTCGGTGAGGAAATAGTTCCTCAGACAGCGTTGCCAGCCTGCCTAGCTGCGGGAGGAAACCTCCCTCCTTCGGTCTTGAGTCCATCCGGTTGGCCGCGCTGCGTGGGCGACCGAGTGTCGTCATCTGTGATTCTACTTCCGCTCCGTTGTGGGAGAGGAGAAGGCGGTAACATGGCGACGTTGGAGCCGACTGAGCTTCCAGTGAAAATGAGGTATAGCACAGCAAACGATGACGAACTGAGGCGACCTAGGCCACCGCCGCGCGCGTGGGGACGATTATTAATCTGCTTTTGCCCAGAATCCTTGGCTGTACTGGGCAGCTGTAGTTTGGGGGAGGCGAGGAGGGGAGAAGATGGAGGACGTCTGCTATCGGGGATGGGAGAATTGAATGGCGGGAGTCGGGATGGCAGCACGGGAAGGGCGCCTGCCTCCTCCGCCTCCGAGTGCTGTCCTTGACAGACCCGGAGCTGAGGGTGCTGCGCGCTGTGCGCCTTGGCTCACACCGTGCGTTTGTGTTTTCCAATCTTCCAGCCGTAAGAAGTCCAGGGCTGCTCGGCAGAAGGAGAAACGGAAGAAACGGCGACAGGAGCTCGCCCGATTGAGAGATGCAGGTAGGAGAAACCTTTCTTCTGGGTATGAAATTCCCCCCTTTACCGCCCCACTCCCACCCCCGCTTGAGTTATGGCCTCGAATAGGTTGGCTTTAAAATTCGCTGTATAGCCGAGGATGACTGAACTTCTGATTCTCCTGCCTCCCTCTCCCCAGTTCTGGGGTGACAGGAGTGCGGCCACCATGCCAGGTTGCCTCTGATTGTTTGCTGCGTGCTAGGCATGGCATCCCCAGCCCTTGCGATTGCTCCCCCTATTTCCTGCACAGACCCGAGGTGGAAAGCCATCTGTGCAGCTAGCCACCATGCTGTTTGGCTTTCAAGTGACAGAACCTGATACTTATGATTTAGGTTTATAAATTTAGTAGATTTGTAAAATCAGTACGTATAAATGCGGGCGATAGGGTTGAAATCACACAGCAGTTCTAGGTTATGGCTACCAGTCATACCACAGAGGCCATGCTTAACAGTCCTTGAGAAAGGGCTAGCCCAGGAGAGACAGGATCTAATGTCAAGGATGAAAAAAACAGCGGCAAATTGTTGATATTGATGACAAAATCCTTTTCCTTTAAGCCTGAAGATGAGCTGTTAAATTTCTTAAGCTTCCTTTGTCTCCATTGTCACTGCCTCCCCCACCTCCAAATTTAAATTTTGAATAGAAGATATAAAGTTTTCTTCTATTGGAACTATTTTATCACATTTTTATTTTGAAAATGTAACAATGTACAAAAAAATAGGACATTTAAATATTCATGCTTCATATAAATTTGCCAAATGGTTAAGTAGTTTTTTTTTCTGAACCCTTTGCACAGCCTGAGTGTCATTATGGAACCACTGATTTAAAAAAGTAACGTGGGGCAGGAGCGATGGTTAAGAACACTGACTACGGCTAGTGCTGCATGCTTTTAATCCCAGCACTTGAGAGCAGAGGCAGGGGGATCTCTGGTGTGGGCAGTCCTTCTGTTTATGTATTGCTTTTATGGTTAGTGAATAAAAGAATCTGCTTCCGGCCAGTGGCTTAACAGAATATAGCCAGGCTGGAAAAGATGTATAGAGTAGGCAGAGTCAGAGGGAATCCATGTAACCGCCTGCAGGAGACATAGGCACTGGAACCTTGCCAATAAGCCACAGCCACTGGTAATACACAGATTAATAGAAATGGGTTAATATAAGATATAAGAGTTAGCCAGAAATACGCTTAAGGTATTAGCCAAACAGTATAGCAATTAATACAGATTTCTGTGTAATTATTTCAGGGGTCTGGGCAGCTGGTAAATGAACAAGCAGCCTTCCCCAACAGATCTCTGAATTTGAGACCAGCCTGGCCTACACAGAAAAGTTTGGTGGCTATCCCCAGGAGGCCTGCTCTTTTTTAATTGAAGGGACTCAGGAGTTGATCTGGGGAAGAGGGGAGATGCAGGGGAGGGACTGGGAGGATTGGAGGGAGGGTAAGGTATGAAAGAAGGACAAAAGGTTTTTTTTTTTTTAAAAAAAAAAAAACAAAACAAAACACTGACTGTTCTTCCAGAGAATGAAGGGTCTGTTCCCAGTATGAAAATACTATCCCTTTTAAGTATTTTTAAAACATTTTGGAGGTAGGATCTGTAACCCTGGAATTTACTGTGTAGATGAAGCTGGCCTCAAATTCAGACATCCGTTTGCTTCTGCCTCCTGAGTGCGGGGATAAAAGGCGCGTGGCACTGCCTTAATTTTAGGTTTTTAGTGTCATCGTAAAGGTTAGAGATTTATGCATTTTCCATGAATAAAGACTCAGTTTAATAAAACATGTGAATTTCTACAGAATTGGCACAGAATGAGGAGGAAGAAGATCCTATTGCTGAAGAAAAACGATTGGAAGAAGAAAGGCTGATGGAGGAAGAAAGGTCGGGACTAATTGAAACACTTAAAGTCAACTGTTGGGTTATTGTAATATTATCCATCTTTACCAGGAAAGGCTTTTTGTATAAAATCCTGTAAAAAAAAATACCTCCTATAAACCAAATCTGTAGCCGACAGGCTAAAATTAGATGTCTTTTTTCCCTTTCTTTCTCTTTTGTTATTCTTTTCCAGGCTGGTCTCCCCTTCCTGCCTTAGCCTCCTGAATGCTGAAATTACTGGCTCGTGCCATCATACTGTGTTTTTTTTTGTTTGTTTTTTTTTTTTTTTTTTTTTTTGTTTTTTTTTTTTTTTTTTTTTTTTTGTGGAAGTATTATTCATTGCTCTGCTTTTCTTTTCTTTTTTGTTTTTCGAGACAGTGTTTCTCTGTGTAACAGCCCTGGCTGTCCTCAGACTCACTTTGTAGACCAGTCTGGCCATAAACTCGCAGAGATCCTCCTGCCTCTGCCTCCTAAGTGGTAGGATTAAAAACATGTGCCACCACTACCCGTCTTTCATTGCTTTTCTGGTTGGGAAGTAAACGTATTTATATTTTAGCGTTGGCACAAAGACCTAATTCTAATAACACTATGTGTTATATGGATGTAGCGTAATTCTTTATTCATAATCTGTAGTCCTCTGTAGTTCATCAGACTGGGGAAGGTATGGTAACTGCTCTTGCTGTGGTGGTAGGAATGAGAAACAGCTGTTCCAAATTGTCTATTTTTTTCTTGTTTTTATTTTTGTAGTTTTTGGTTTTTCAAGACAGGGTTTCACTGCATAGCCCTGGCTGTCTTGGAACTGGCTACTCTATAGATCAGGGTAACCTCTGTTGTCCAAGTGCTGAGATTAAAGGCATATGCCATCACAACCTGGCTTCAGTTTTCTCTTTTAGTCAGGGAGTGAGCACTCATCTTTTTTCCCCCTTTCCCTTATTACTCAGCCAGGAACTGCAGTCTATAAGATGGGATCATACTCAGCCAGGAACCGCAGTCTATAAGATGGGTTCATACTCAGCCAGGAACCGCAGTCTATAAGATGGGTTCATACTCAGCCAGGAATCGCAGTCTATAAGATAGGGGTTCATACTCAGCCAGGAACTGCAGTCTATAAGATGGGTTCATACTCAGCCAGGAACTGCAGTCTATAAGATAGGGGTTCATACTCAGCCAGGAACCGCAGTCTATAAGATACGGGCTCATACTCAGCCAGGAACCGCAGTCTATAAGATGGGTTCATACTCAGCCAGGAACCGCAGTCTATAAGATGGGTTCATACTCAGCCAGGAACCGCAGTCTATAAGAT